AACAAGGGCATCGCTTCTAGTAGCAAGGACGCTACTAGTAGCTCCTGCCATTACTACTAGTAGCAAGAAGCTACTAGTTTGGAGGCCATCGCTAGTAGTAACAAGAGCATCGCTTCTAGTAGCAAGGACGCTACTAGTAGCTCCTGCCATTACTACTAGTAGCAAGAAGCTACTAGGTTGGAGGCCATCGCTAGTAGTAACAAGAGCATCGCTTCTAGTAGCAAGGACGCTACTAGTAGCTCCTGCCATTACTACTAGTAGCAAGAAACTACTAGGTTTGGAGGCCATCGCTAGTAGTAACAATGGCATCGCTTCTAGTAGCAAGGACGCTACTAGTAGCTCCTGGCATTACTACTAGTAGCAAGAAGCTGCTAGGTTGGAGGCCATCGCTAGCAGTTTTCGAAGCTCTGAGACACTTTGTTGGTTGAAAAGAGGTCTGTAGAGTCGGCCAATTTATTTTATTTTAATTCTAATTAAACTTAATTACTAATTCTTGTTACTACTAGTAAGGCACTTGTTCCTAGTAGCTTCTTTGTTGGTGCAAAAGAGGTCTGTCTATAGAGTCGGCCTCTGATCGATGGTGCCAGGGCAGGCCGAATTCCCATGCCAACAAACATGCACAAGTGGTGCTGCTGAGCTGCATGGAATGGAAGTTAGACTTTCGGTCGTTTCCTCTTGGCTTATTGTTATTGCTTTAGTCTTCTCCCTCTCCTTCTCCTTGTCCTTCTTCTCCTTCTTCTCCTCCTTCTTCTTCTTCTCTTTCTTCTTCTTTTTCTTCTTCGCTATTTGGTTGGAGGCCATTGCTGCTAGGTTGGAGTGGCCCAGAGGTTGCTTTGTCTTTTTCAGGAAGAATCTCAAGTCAGCCATTGCCAAGCTGACGGAGGAGAAGACCACCCTTAGCAACGAGGTGCAAGCTTGGATGCAACCAATGTACAACAATAAGCTAGTAGTAACAAGTGCATCGCTTCTAGTAACAAGTGCCATACTAGTAGTAACAAGAAGCTAGTAGTTAATTTAATTCTAATAGCTTTTTGTTACTAGTAGTAAGGCACTTGTTACTACTAGCGAGGCACTTGTTACTAGTAGTAACAGATTGGATGCAGACCTTGTCGGCCGTTCCAGGTCAAAGCCAGCGCACGGGATGCTGCCAACAAGGCACTGGCACGATCATTTGAGAGACCGTGAGCACCAAAGCGAACACTGGAGATCTCAGATGCCTTATATAGCCGTGGAGAGAGGTAGCTCGAGGTAGGTAGTGCCTTGCTCAAGCTACTAGCATGGACGGATAGCTCACGCTTCAAGGAAGCTCCCCCGGCCGCCCTAAAGCCGCCGGGGGGGGGGCTTCCTTGAAGAAGCCCTCGCACTGAAGAAGAGCCCCTAGTAGCGTCCTTGCTCCTAGTAGCGATGCCCTTTGCTCCTAGTAGCGTCCTCTTGTTCCTAGTAGGAGCGGGCTTAGAAAACATGGTGAGTTTGGTGAGTCCAAAGAGGAAAGCCCCATGGGAGCTGTGCAGGCCCATTCAAAGAGAAAACTGCTGCTGCAAAAAGAAAACAACAGGCTACACAGGAAGGAAGGAAGGAAGGAAGGAAGGAAGGAAGACAACAGTAAAAATAATAACAGGGAGGCTACTGTGCTCACTGTATCTGCACTATGCTTCGGATCGCCGCAGTGAACTGTGGCTGGATTGAACATGGTAGAGCCCGCGATCACCACTGCCGATTGGACTCAGGACTCAGCCGCCCCACCACAATAAGCTAGTAGTAACAAGTGCATCGAATCTAGTAACAAGTGCCATACTAGTAGTAACAAGAAGCAAGTAGAAAC